TTGATACCAACACGTGGCATTGCGTCACGTTAGTAAATGATCTACAACCATGGCACGTTAATGGGATTCGAACCAGCGGACGCTCCAATTCGGAAATTAAAGCTTTAGTTGATAGATTATTCCCGTTACATTTTTGCTTGTGCCTGATAGGTGAGCGAATAGTACACTTCCGTTTGCTCCAAGTTGTGCCGTGCCGTGTAGTCCGTTGCGATAGTTTTCTCGCCTTTCAGGTAACTTACTTCACCGTAAAACCTTTCAAATTCCGATGTTATTGCGGTCTGGTGCCTTTTCAAACAATCACTGCACATGATTGTTGCATTAGCGATTGATTAACTGATACAACATGCACACACGCACGCGCGCCCACACTGGACGGCAGGCTGACCTATTCGCTTCAGAGAATCAGATTCCAGTATTCAACTATCTGTTGTGGATTGACTGCACTCTGTTTACACGAGATGGCTAAGCGTGCTTATTGATTCGGTTTTGTCAGCCATTTGCACGTGGATAGCTTTGCTTGCTCAACAAACCTACGGACCGGTTAGATGCGTACGCTACGAAGAAATGAGTTACCTAATTTACTAGATGCATGTTTATTTGCTGAACTGAAACAATATTGAGCTTAATTGTCCATATTCCCCAAATCATATAGAATAGACACAGTGCAGCAAAACCAAAATCTCTGCCCGCACAGTCTGTGACTGTCAGGAAGAATCTGTTGAGTGATCAGTGCTCCCTCAATCCTCAACGAACTAATCACATCATCACTTCGGAGACAATTGAAAACCATCCACACTTTTCTTTTTTCACGGAAGGTTTCCATAGGAATATCAAAAGCCAAACAGTATAGCGAACAAGCTTGTTTTCCTAACTTCGTCTTCAGGCCTTTACAGTTATGTGAACGTATTTATATCTCATGTAGGAATGAACGTGGTTGGACCGTAGAGGTTATGTGTGAAAATGCAACAATGTCTATCAAGTTTAATCAGGACCAGTGGATAAAATGGGGACAGTGGGTGAAAGGGAGTGGGGGGAGGTCAATTCTGGATTTTTCGGTGACCTTTCTGTTCATGTGCCATTTGTCACGCCATGTTGCGTCATCATGATACGATGGTTCGGGTTATCACGTAAGTTTGGTTGGGGTCAAGGCAGCTGAAGTGCGGCAACCATCTTCTTCTGTTTGCACAGTGGTGGGTTCATGATTTTGATTGCTACAGCTTCCGCTGTTGCCGAAAATTCCACAATTGACCTTCCACCCCCGTCCCCTTCACCCACTGTCCCCATTTTATCCACTCGTCCTGATTGAACGTGATCGACATTGTTGTAGGTTCATACATAACCTCTATGGTCCAGTCACATTTATTTCTACATTAGATATAAACACGCGCACATAACTGTAAAGGCCTGAAGACCAAGTTACGAAAACAAGCTTGTTCGCTACAATGTTTGGCTTTTTCTTTTCATTTTACTTCGTTTTATTGAATACGCCACGATATAATTGTTAAGAAAGTCGTGGTGAAAAATGCGTTATTGCTCCCGCTCCCAGTGAAAAAAAAACACTCATACCGGACAACTCCAGTGTGTGCTGGACACGTTAGTAATTGCATACCGCCTGTCTCATTGTTCCTAGTTTACATTTGTTTGCCAGAAAAGACATACTGATCACATTTTGGCACTTCGAAAACCGTTTATCTGTGGTCTGAACCGACCTATCATAGAGTTTCTGCTATCACTGACGTTTAATCTATTTATTTGAAATCATGTGCCCAACAATGTCCTAGATCAATTTGTTCATTTCCGATTTGATTCATACGTTCCACCTCGAATTCATCAAACAAACTGAAAATACTCACGGTGCACTCGAACTTCGTTCTCGTTAGGACCTTGTCAGTAGTGCGCATCAGTCGTCTGGTCTTGGGATTTGAACTGAGAACTGCTCGTTCAGACGGTGCACGCCTAATATCCCTGTCCCAACCAACTCAAAACGGGACTGAACAGAATTACCAATCCAAGTTTGTTCCGGTGTCTTCTTTACTGATACTCATTGGCTTGATACAGTTCCAGAGATGCAGTTGGCTATCTGTTGACTGCTGTGAAAAGTCTTTTGCGAAATCGAGATCCTCGAAGTAGCCAGTTGGGGAGAATGTGCCACAATTAAATCCACCACACAAGAGTTTGATTGGCATTCAACTCACAGCTTTCACCACACACTGCTGCTGATCTCCATCAAGCGCGAAACTGGAGTCCAGTGCTCATCTAGAAGATGATAGACTAAATCAATTACCTTAGGGATCGTGCATGAAGATTTACTCTGAAGGATGATGAGTGCCACACCACTGTTTACAAGTGTCTTTCGGGGAAATCGTTTTCTCTGCAGCTTCCGTTTCATCGATCACAGTCAACCTTGTCCTTGACAAACATACTGAAGATAGTTTTGTATGATGAATTAATCGTGTAAATGAGAAGTGAATTGAAAAGCCGGGAAGCGCAGCTGGACAGCCCTTTTGATTTGGTTAGGGATCTCAACAGCACAGGAGTGCCCGCGAATCCATCGACCCCCGACTGGGAATCGCAAAGCGTGGACCTCACAGGCAAAACTGACGCACACTACCCACTCATTTGTCCTGCAACACACAAGTGGGGCAAGACAGTGGCGGTGCGAGTGGAATCCGAACACACGTCCTCTGAGAGGGGATAATTTGGTGACGTTATCATCGGGCCGCCACCGCCCGGATGAAGCAGTAGAACAAAAAACAGGAAAGATGAAAGTTGAATCGAGGAGAGAGTGGAGAATTTCAGTGAACTAAGGTTGCAAGGAAACTGACAAGATGCACCAACATCATTTTTTACGACACTCGAACCTATCATCCAATGTCTCTAACCATGGATTACGATCATCCCGGGGTCATCGTCCAGGTAACCCATCGAGTCATCAAATTTCNCAAATTTCCTGGTTAGGGATGTTCGTACCTTTTGTTTGCCACACAAGTCTTCCATTGGTTTGTTTGCCAGTCGATCGTCACACGAGATAAGCTGCCTACGGCTGAATCGATTCGTCATTTAAACTTCTTCAATGCAAAGAAAGAGCAACAACGGGAAGCACTTCTTAGCCATAATTTTCTTTATTTATTCTCACAAATTATAATTCCCTACCGTAAAACCCAAATATCTCATTCGACAAGGTTAAAATTGTCTTTAATTACTCAAGTCGAAGCTTAAAAGTACAACTGTATTCCTTTAAAAATATATTGCCCACTGAAGATAAGCGTATGTTACTGGTTTGTCGAAAGCTTTGTCTACATTGGGAGTTGCATAGGTGTAGACGAGGAGATCTCTCAACGCATGATCAAAGCTAGATTAGCGTTTGCTAATCTGCGGCATCTCTGGCGCCGGTGAGACATATCCCTTTCACTGGAAGAGCGAGTGTATTGCGCAACGGTACGTGCCATGTCTGAACTACATCGCCCGCGTACGGTGAGAGCACCGCGTGAATAACGATGAAGTCAGACGACGGGTGCTGGGACCAGATAGTCTTCCTCTGGGCAAACTAATTTCACAGCATCGTCTTAGGTGACTAGGGCACGTTGTACGAATTCCTGGACAACGTCTGNTGTCACAGAGGATTAAAGAGATTGGGGTTTCTCGGCTCTCCGGCTGGGCTCGGAAAGATTCAGATTGTCTTTGACGGGATACACTGCGGTATATGGCATCCAACCGAAGTCAGTGACACAAATGCATCTTCTCTTGTTTGCAATACAAAGTTTGGTGCTGGTATGAGCATAGTGTTACTGTGATCCAGATTTAGCGATTTCCACTGACGAATATTATTGTCTTATTGTCGTTATGAGCTACGTGTGTGTGCTTGTTCAGTCGTCTTTTCCCCGTCCAACCGACCCCCCGACCCCCCCTCCCATTCAATCCTTGGTTGCCCACTCTTTCATCTAATTTATCCGTCTTTCAGATACGCTA